TTATATATTGTAGATATCTTATATATTGTAGATATCTTATATATTGTAGATATCTTATATATTGTAGATATTTTATACAGTGTAGATATCATATATTGTAGATATCTTATATATTGTAGATATCTTATATATTGTAGATATTTCATATATTGTAGATATCATATATTGTAGATATCTTATATATTGTAGATATTTTATATATTGTAGATATTTTATATATTGTAGATATCTTATATAGTGTAGATATTTTCTATAGTGCAGATATTGTATATATTGTAGATATTGTATATATTGTAGATATTTTATATAGTGTCGATATTTTATATAGTGCAGATATTGTATATATTGTAGATATTTTATATAGTGTAGATATTTTATATATTGTAGATATCTTATATATTGTAGATATCTTATATATTGTAGATATTTTATATAGTGTAGATATCTTATATAGTGTAGATATCTTATATAGTGTAGATATTTTATATAGTGCAGATATTGTATATATTGTAGATATTGTATATAGTGTAGATATTTTATATAGTGTAGATATCCTATATATAGTAGATATTTTATATAGTGTAGATATTGTATATAGTGTAGATATTTTATATAGTGTAGATATCCTATATATAGTAGATATTTTGCATAGTGTAGATATTGTATATATTGTAGATATCTTATATAGTGTAGATATTTTATATAGTGTAGATATCTTATATAGTGTAGATATCCTATATAGTGTAGATATCCTATATAGTGTAGATATCTTATATAGTGTAGATATTTTATATAGTGTAGATATTGTATATATTGTAGATATCTTATATAGTGTAGATATTTTATATAGTGCAGATATTGTATATATTATAGATATTTTATATAGTGCAGATATTGTATATATTGTAGATATTGTGTATATTGTAGATATTTTATATAGTGTAGATATTTTATATAGTGTAGATATCCTATATAGTGTAGATATCTTATATAGTGTAGATATTTTACATAGTGTAGATATTGTATATATTGTAGATATTTTACATAGTGTAGATATCTTATATAGTGTAGATATTTTATATAGTGTAGATATCTTATATAGTGTAGATATTTTATAAATTGTAGATATTTGATCTATTTTCAGTGCCGTTTGTTCGTCAGCAAGATTACAGAAAACCTTCTTTGTGTTATTTTACTTCTCCTGAATCACTTAATAAAGTGAATAAAACAATCAACTACTTGTGTCATTTTACTTTGAAGGATTACAGTTTTTCCTAAAAAATCTGACATGAAGAAACACAACATGTCTGATTAGAACAGAAGTGTTCCTGATCTGCATAAATCTGTTCTAACGTTCCCCTCACACCTGGAGACAGGTAAGAGTCCCCACGAACACCTGGAGACAGGTAAGAGTCCCCGAACACCTGGAGACATGTAAGAGTCCCCGAACACCTGGACACAGGTCAGAGTCCCCGGACACCTGGACACAGGTAAGAGTCCCCGGACACCTGGACACAGGTAAGAGTCCCCTCACACCTGGAGACAGGTAAGAGTCCCCACGAACACCTGGAGACAGGTAAGAGTCCCCACGAACACCTGGAGACAGGTAATAGTCCCCACGAACACCTGGAGACAGGTAAGAGTCCCCGGACACCTGGAGACAGGTAAGAGTCCCCGGACACATGGAGACAGGTAAGAGTCCCCTGACACGTCCCACCAATAAAGTGACATTTAGAACAAAGCTTGAATTAGTTTACTGCTGCAGGGGAACTTTGGATTCACTCAAGAGAAACATCTTAGTCCAAAGGTCCTGCACACCTGTACACACCTTCACAGACCCGTCACTGTCACACAGGTGAGCAGCTTTAAAGCC